TTAAAGACAACAAAATGAATGTTTTGGAGCAGCCAGGTCAAAAATCAATCCGGTTGAGAATTTGTGGTTGAATTACAAAAGGTCTGTTCATTCATGATCCCCATGCAACATAACAGACCTAGAGCAATTCTGCAAAGAAGAATGTGGTAAAACTGCAGTGTCCAGATGTGCTAAACTGATTGAGACTTATCCACACAGGCCCAACGCTGTAAACGTGGCCAAAGCTGCATCTAGTAAATACTGATTGTACAGGTCAAAAAGCAAAAAAAAAAAAAGGGGTAAATCTAAAGGGGGGGGGGATACTTTTTCAGGCATTGTAGTTGCTATTTTTGTTTGAGTGAGTGACACCATGTCACTATTAACCAAGTGTGTCCTTTTAAACTCTGATAAATATCCACATGCATGCACTCTTAATGAACACTTGGACTGCCACCGGAAGTGCGTGACACGAGTGCCCACTTGACTTCGCAATGAGTGCATATTTGGACAGACTCCTAATTTAGGCTGAAAAAATTCTCTTTGCGTTCAGCTGTACACGTTGCAAAAAGAGTGTTCTGTACTGTTGTGCTCTCCTTTCCAATCATGTTATTGTTTAGAGGGTTGAATATTTTACTCATTGTCCAAATGACTGCATTTAGTCAGAGATGAGGGTCCTGTCCAGACTTGTGGCCGTTACCCTGGGATCACAATAAGTTGAATAAAATCAGAAGATTCTTATCAACGTGGATGCCTGTATGCTGAAACAATAACTTCCGACCTCGTCAGTGGCCGCTGTCTTGGCTCCTGCCTCGGCTCCTATGTCCCTCACAGTCGGTTCCCCCATTCTTTTATGTCAGCTTCCTGTCTTGTGTCGCGCCAGAGTAGACCTAGCTGGCTGCAAGCCCAAAACCTGAATGACAAAGTGAAACACACACACACACACACACGCAGAATGTCACAACTATGCACCTTCACTGCCTCTTGTACGGTACAATGCAGCCTCTTCCCCGTTATCTTTTTTGCATCGCCCCCTGTCATCTTTGTTTATTAACTAGTTTATGTGTTAGTGAGGAACAGGTAAAGTGCATTTGGCTCCATCCCCATCTTTATATCTCCCTGCCTCCTTTAAATCACCCTAAATTCAATAACTGTGTCCTATTCCAAACCAGGAGTCAGTGTGACTGGACACCCCTGCCCCCGCATTCCCCTCACATCCCTCACCTCCCACCTCAATGCTGTGCTTTGGTCATGAAGCATGGCTTGCAGCACGTACCTTGTCTCCCTCCACTCTCTCTCTCTCATGTTGGCTCAGACATAAGCAAACAGCCCTTTGAGCAAACAGTGCAAACAAAGCTGTCAACACTGTCTTTAGCTTAGCACAGGGGTGACCATGTAGCTTTAAGGCTGAGTCATAAAAAGTCAGGATTAGAACTAGAGATATAAACTTTTAAGAGAATGCGTAGAAAGTGACTCTCACTTAGGAATATTTTAAACACATTTGAACACCATAAAGACACTGTAATCAATTTATGTTAAATACTATATGTTCCCAAGCTATGGCATGAGATGTTGTTTCCCCTGAGGTAGAGGAGTCCTTTTAAATAATCTATTTATATAGCATTGATATTCACAGAAAAACCTTTTTCAAATATTTTGTACATTTTCTCCTTTTAAATCAAACATGTTTCTTAATGCACTTCTGTACCTGTGTATTGTGCCATACGTGCAGCATACATAGGCTTATGAAACCGTAAGCGTGCAAACATGTAAGCTTGGTCACTTTTATCAGCCTTTCTGTAAATAAAGCCGCATGTGTCACTTTATGTTGCGTGTCGGTGCCTGATAATGCATATGCAAACATGCCTTTACTTCTTGTCTGATGGAAGACACCCCTGGAAGAAATTTCCTGGAAGTCCTCTCTGTGTGTCACACAGGGGGTTTCCAGGAAATTTCAATATATTTCCTTTACTCTGGCTCCAAACGGGCGGTCAGGGTGAAGGGAAATTAACGCTCCTGCTTGATGTACAGAGAATAATTGCAGTATAACCTTTTGAACACGTCTCCCCTGAATAAAGGAATGTCCCTAACTGCATTGCTTGAATTTACGTTAACTTTTCATAGAACCGCATGCAGCATCCATAATTCTGAAAATGAATTATTGGTCACTGAGTTCAAAATTACATCCCTTGTTTGTTTCAGGCTGAATTGTTTCGTGGTTTTATGACAAAGTCATATTGACAAATCTATTTTTATACTACTACAATGAGTGAACTTGCAACCCTGATTTTTTTTTTGTTGGATGAAAAAAATCAGCATCTTCCTGTAAGCAGACACTTTGTTTTGGTGATGGAACGGATTGCTCTTCTGTTCTGTCCTGATATCTACCTGATGAAACAGTAAGGTTAAAGATCAAGTTATATATTGAGAGCTTATCATCCGTAGCTAATACGACAAAAAGAACACCGTTCCAACAGCCAAGTGTGGGGGTGTTTTGCTGCGGCAAGGGGTTATTTACTGGAACATTTTAAAGAACTCTGTGGATAATTTGAAGTTTGGTAATGATTGAACTTTCCAGTGACCCCAAGCAAACGTCCAAAGTCAACCAAGGCTCGGTTCAGTAATTTTATTCCTGAAATGTGTCGTTGAGTGGCCATCTCAATCCCAGGATTTGAAACCCATTTAAAATCTTAGGTGGGATTTACAGAGAGCAGCAGCAGCAGCAACAGCATGGAAACCAAAGAATGTTAGTGAGCTGAAAGCTTTCGGACATGAGAGACAATCAGAGGCTTGTTTTAAAAAAACAAACAAAAAAAAAAAAACCTAAGGAAACATTTACACTGAAGGTCATAAAGGTTGAAGGATGCTGTTAAATATTGACTCTGGGGGTTAAATCACTGTCCCTTGTGTGACGTTTTCAGAGAAATCAGAAATGCATTATTACGCTTTCATTGTTGCAAAAGTTGTTTTCAATTTTACCACATCTCGAGAATATTTCAACAATATTAATACGCATGAAAGGCCTATTCAGGAGAATGTTTTTTTGAATGAGAACAAGCTGTTACCTTGTGAAAACGGAGGTTACGTCTCTGATTGTTAAGGATTTAATGCTGATTTATGTTAGCGTTAGACATTCTTTAATGATTTCTCTGTCTAAATGTTTGATCATCATGGTTCCTGAATGTGCCCAGTATACATCCATCCATTATCTATACCAGCTCTATATCTGAGAGGTGGGGTGCACCTGGGACACAACCAGCACATAGAGACAGACAACCACGCGCACAAAGGGACAACCAGTAGATTCGGATGCAGAACTTTCTTGCTGTGAGGCAACAGTGTCACCCACTGTTTCACCGTGCCGCCCTGATGAGCACATATCGGGGGTCCAGAAAAAAAAAAGTTGTCCCCTTCCGGATACCATTGGAAACATAACTACATAATTTGAAGTAATGCAGTTATAGTGCAACACAATGCATTTTGAAGTTGAAAGATGTCAACAATGCCTCCAATCCCTGAACCCCGAGTGAGCATGTCCGGGGGAACAGTCTCTGAAAGTGCGTCAGCGGTGGCCGACCTCCAGTAAATGAATCCCTTCTGCAAGCACAAAAGCCTTGGGTTTGTGCATCTCTAGTTAACATAGGTGAGCACACACAGTTATCTCAAATGTCACAAATCAACTTTAGCATGTTTCGCATCACACAGCTGCGTAGATGAGGCTTTAAATTGGGAGAGATGCCTGCAATCGTGCACATGACGCAGCAGAAGTAACTTTAAGAACACAGGATCAGTAAGGATGTGACGGCGAAGAGTGTTTCTCTACACATGCGACAGATTAATGTGGTGGAATTAAGCTTCTTTAGATGAATCCGGAGCTTCAGCAGGACAGTTTTGTTAAGAAATGCCGTCATTTGGCACAAAAAGTGTTTGAGTGACACTGTGGAGGTGAACTTTCTCTGAGCCTCCTGAATCCATTTAAAGGCTCAGTTCACCTTTCTCCAACACATGTCTCTTCATTCAGAAAGTTTTTACCATGATGGAACCAGGTGAAGAACTATCTCTGAAATTGTGGTGTCCATCTGAATCGGATAGATTTTCTCTTTAAAACATGATCACCACAAATAAATAACCAAGATCCCATGTTAGTGATGTTATTAGTAACCCTGAGACATCTCTCATTTTCTGTTATCAATATTTACACGATCATTTTTTTGTAAATAAAAATACTGTAATGACGTTTGTGAACACCACCCAAACAATGAATGGGAAGTGTCTGCCCGGCTTCGCTAAGACATTATTTACTGTTTTGGCCAAATGTTTTCCAAACAGGGATAGCCTATTATTTGGATAACAATGAAAGAAAACATTTCTCGCCTTAAGGGAGGAGTAGTTTATGTTGTCATCATAGAAACAATGCGACTTTATTTTCAAAGTCATCAATAAAAAATCAAACGGGATCAGTTTTTAGAAACACCTACCGGATAAGTGCACAACAGATCCACAAAAGAGCTTCGTTTCCAATTAATGGGCAATAGACGGACCTATGGGCCAAACCGCGAGGACCCTGTGAGGGGCTCTGCGGATACCGCTATGGAGTTTCCCAGTGAGTTATGGCCATGCCTTCATGATTTTTTCTCTGTACTCGGGCTTTAGTAGTTAGCCTATTTTCACGCTTTGCGCAACGGGGCACTGCATGGGTTGATGTTTAATCGCTCGCCGTGGTACGTAAAAAGGCGCGTCCTCGTTCTTGCTGGGGCAATCACGTTATCACTATATCCCTTAGGGGAGGCAAATAAAAGGTTTTGCCAAACCACAGCAGTGATGCAAAGTCTGGTAGGTGACCGCTCTCCCTCGCAAGCACTGAGCCTCTTTTACGCGGACCTACATGCCAGTCGGACTAACGCGGACACCAGCGCGCTTTGGTTGTATGTTGTTGGATTGGACCGGTGCCTTTAACTCGAGCCTGCGCATTATATCTCTGATTCTTTCACGATGTTTTTAAAAGATGCTGCACCTGTTTGCGAATGTTGCAGAAAACGGGTAGAGGTAAGAGCGAATATAAGATTTGTGATGCGTTACATCGGGTGTGTGTGTGTGTACATGTGCACTTTGTATGCTCAGTATTTGTGGAACACGTTTGTCACTCTTAAAACTTGCTGACTATTTACATGCATGTATGTGGGCCACGGGTTTATTAAAGCCACCTCTGGAGGTCTGAGCTGCTATGAATGGTTCTGCCCGTTTTCTTACAAGATGCCCTTTGATTTGCGACAAACTCTGTCTGCTCCATGCTTCAGGATTGCATTTTTATCGAAAGTTCATGGACACAGATTGTGTAATTCCACTTCTTAGAACACTGCTGTACATTAGGATGTGTTGCAAAACTCACTGTAGCCACTGGTCTGAAATTATTTCAAATTAAATGGAACCAAATTAGTGTCAGGTGATGGATAGTGGACCAACGTGAAGTCATTCAGTCTGTTCCTGAAGCTGCTCATGAACTCAGCATCATGCTGGTCCAGAACTTTACTCTTTTCACTGAATCTTTTGTGTCCATTCTAGCTGCAAACGTTTCTGTAAGTCCCTGCTGATACACAGATCTCGTGTGGAGAATCTGCTGAGTACTGATGACCAGTTTGGGACAGTACAGCTCAACCCTAAGCATGACACAGCAGGCTTTCAGGGTAGGAACTGGTGACACTGAATGCGAACGTTTTTATTTTGTGTGTTTTTGCACAGTCATCAACACAAACTTGTGTCAGCAGAAAAGGGGCAAAACTGCTTATCAAAGGCTGATAGCTGTAAGGGATTCCAGCAGAGCAGGAAACGATGTCACACCTGTCATATGATTCTTATTCACAAGCTTTGCCATGCAGAAGACCTGTTCGAAACAGTGGGGAAGTTGCAAAAGCATTCAACAGCAACCATCCCACAAACGATATGCACTTTAAATGGCATCTCCTTATCGGCCCTCCGTGCCGTTTAACCATCAGTACCACACCGACTAGTTGATTAAATGCTGTGCTCTTTCGGTGCACTTGTTTGACACGAGTCAGTTAAAATAGCACACGTTGAAGGTGTCGCCTCATGTGAGCAGCCGGCCAACTTGCCAAAGCATCTGTCACATACCTGGAGTGAAGCTTGCCATTATCCAGAGCACTACCACTTGTGGACTACTGCTTCCAATTTAAAATAGCAACATGGTTTTGGCAGCCCATCTTGGCAGACAAAGTTGTTAACTTTTAGTCTGGCCACCATCCTGGACTGCAAATTCCACCAGGGTGGTGAGAAAGTAGAGTGTGTGTGTGTGTATACATGGTTTAGATTGATGCATTCTCACGTAGGCAGTGGTGGAGGATTAATACTGATAATCCTCAAGCTGAGTCACACACACTTATTTAACAAATGTCTGAGCATATGGAAAATAGGCCATTACTTTGTCTGAGGAGACAGAACTTATGCCTATGAATCTGCTAAATGCACTGGTAAATGTCGCAGCATTTAAGCACGCATGGATCTTAGCATACTTTGTGTTGATCTGAAGCTTTGGTAATATAGAAAGACCTCCAGGGCTTGTATAAACTTCAAATGTCATAGGGAGTCTAAAATGGAGCACATGCACAAAAATGCAACATTTGTGACGCACTTTGATGTGGACAAATGCACAAAAGGCTATGAAGACATTTATTAGTGTCCAAGTAAAGTGGAGCAGCCGCTTAGCAGCAAACGGAATGAAAACATGCTCAGTGTCTTTGGATTTATTCAGTTTGAAGTGCTTTGTCATTAGTCCCATTCAGCATTCATCTCTTGCTATGCTTACAGCTTGTATTCATCTTGAGTCAAATCTTTTTAAAGAGTCTATGAATGAATCTTTGGAAATGCGCGTGCACAATCTCTAGTTATTGTCCTACACATGCTAATTCTTTGTATGTACCAGTGTTCATACTGGACTGCTGCAAGTCTACCAGGATTATAAGCATTTATTAAATGAGGCTGCAATTGTGTCACTAATGCACATGGAGCAGTTGGGAGCTGTGAACTTGTGGGACACTGTGGCATTAAACTTATGTACATACAGAGTTTACAGAAACATGGGGGTGGTATGAGTCAGATGTGCGGTTTTGTAGATACTGACTGATCCTACGTGTCAGTGACAATCTCCTCCATGACGTTGGCATTGCTGAAAAGGGGGCATGAAGGTTAAGCTGATTAGACCATTGACCCTTTTAGAGGGCTGCACTACTAGTAATGGTATTGCCATTCTTCATGTTATTTCTTATGATCCTTCAGCGGTGGAAAACCGACAATATAAATCTAATTTAGGAGATCGGCTCGATTTGAGCTACTTGCGTGGAAGTCTGAGAACTTAATCTGACCTGTCTGTCTGGGAAAATCGTCGGCATTTTCTGTCATGCTTTTTGCGTCACACATCCAGGCTGCTGTGAAAGAGCGCATTCAGCATGTGGCACAGAAGAACACGGCTCTGTGCCCACATGACCCACAGGAGTAAAATCTCTCTCACTGCCAAGTGTATTCAAGGAGTTCAGAATGTGCTGCAGTTTCAATGGATGCTAGAAGCTTCTTTCACACACACTGAGAAAAGGTTAGAAGTCCCGGCTACATTGCTGAAAAAGGTTGACTAATGTCCCGATTAGCCAGCAATAAATAAGGGTTGAACACGGTTATTCCTGCAGTGTCACAGTATCTGCAAGTTTCAGTTTATAATCCAGGATATCACATGGTTTCTGAGGTGGCAAAAATGAAACGAAATGAGAGAGATACTGCTTAGTCATATGGTGCTATCGTGCTGATTTTACATGGCACCGCCTTAAAATCATTTGCGAGCATACAGTGTACATGTTAAAAAGTTTTTGAAACTATCATACAGATATACAGAATGTACTCATACATACATATATATATATAGAAAAACCAGGGACTGCATCACAGCCAAATTAACACAAATTAAGGCTCTTGGCAGATCTTCACAGAGGTACCTGATGTATTTTCAGATATTTTACGCTGAAAGACTTGAGCTGATGTCAGTGGATGAGGTGCTGGGCAGAGGGGTATTACAAAAGAAACCGTTGTTGCTAAGGTTTCTGCATTTTTCCCTGGGGAGTTTTCAATACATTTAAAATGTGGACATTGCTTCTGGAGTGGAGACTAGAGACTTCTCTGTGCAGTCGAACAGCTAGTGTCTGCTGCATGGGAACATCTTTGTAATGTTGTCTAAAATTTTACATTTAAACAGAGGACAGCGAATCTTTCTTTTCTTTAAAGTGCATTGAAAGAAATCCAGACTTCATAAGTGGGTGGATTTGAAATATAAGCATTTTTGTAATGATGCTTATTAATTTCTGAAGGCAGTCTGATCATATTTGCAATACGTCCTAAATACTGTCTGTCTCCTGTCTCACAGATGTCATGTAGGTCATATGTACAGTACAGGGATGGAGAATTATTGTTTTAAGATAATTACAGACTTGTTGGCTTCTGTTCGGCCTCTTGGTATATTTTACCACATTTCTCTCACATGTCATTGGCTTCAGAGTCTGAATAGACTTTATTTACTATTGTATATAGTAGATAATGCATCTTTATTAGATATTTCCTGTCCTCTATAATAATGTCAGCTCATACTGATTAGAGGGGGGCTTAAACTGAAAATAGTTTGTTGAAGAAAAGCAAGAGTCTGTGAAGAAGAAATGTTTAAGCTCCACTGACAGTCCCATTGGAGTGATCTACAGAGTTCAGCGTAAGAGTTAAAAGTCATTGCAGCGATAAAATACTCTGTGGATCTGTACAGTAAGCATATCTTGCACAAATTAAGAATGTACATGTGAAAGAAGCAAAATGCTGTCCAAATGCTACTGAAGCAGCATTCTGTGCACAAATAACACTAAAGTTTATGACATAATTCTACTCTTGTGTATGAAGGATACTGTCAAATTCAAATAAAGTCAACATGTCAGCTGTTGGACATGTCTCAACCAAAGAAAGAGTACAAACTGTCTTTTTCCCCTTGTATCAGATTAAGTCATTTATGCGTCTAACTTAAGTCTCATAACTGAAGTTAGACGCATAAATGCATCCAGCTCAGATGTGTCTCACAGCTGCTGCCTCCTAGCAAGTGCCAACCGTATGCAAAACTTGTCTTCATTTAGTTGAGGTGTTCACCAGCCTTTCAGCAACTGTGTTTGTGTGTCTGTTGTATCTGTGATAGCAGGACTGCTTGCCTTGCTGTTAATCGTACTGGAGTGGACCAGGCCAGGCTTGCCGTCCCCCCTGAGGCCAATCTGCGACCTGAGGGTCCTGAACCATTTCATAAAGGAAGCTCGAGACGCAGAAGTCGCTATGGTGAGAGGAAAATGTATGCATGTAAATAAGATCTAAGAGCACGAGAAGTTTGCTGCACTGATACTGTGGCCCTGGAATCACCTGCACTAAGTGTCTATGTACAGCTAAATAAAAGTCCCTTTAAAACTGTCTTCATTACTCTCTCGCCTTCACAGAAGTCATGTAGAGAAGGATGTAGCCTGTCAGAGTCTGTCACTGTTCCCCAAACCACAGTCGACTTTGATGTCTGGGAGAAGAAAAATGTAAGTGACCGCTGAAACAGTTGGATGTTAAACAGCTGATAACTGATATAGATTAGCTATAAATGATAATACAAGTTCATACAAATTTGTAAATGTGTGATCACTTAACTTTAAAAAAAAACATCTAATTCTACTTTTGGATATTTATAGATGTCATTGCCTCGAGTGTTTTGGCAGTACCTGTAACTCTTGTTAATTTCTCATGATTACTTGCTTCCTTTGTTCCTTATCGCTCCCTTAATGACACTCTTCAACTCTTGCCCTCTGTTTATTTTTTGGCAAGGCGCTGGAGCAAGCCCAGGAGGTGCAGACTGGCTTATGGCTCTTACAACAGGCTCTCAGCTTGCTGCGGACGTCGGTCACCAACACAGCACTGCACAGCCACATAGACAACAGCATCAGAAACCTGCTCAGCATCAATGCTGTGCTGCGTAGCCTCAACATCCAGGTCAGTTTACAGCAGGTTCAGAGGCACAACTTCAAAATCAGTGGCTCAGTTGCTGTGTTTGCTCTGAGCCTTTCATAAGTTGAATGGTATAACAAAGCCTAATATAATTTTAAAAATTATGAATGTGATTAAAACAACCTACTATTTGAATCCTTTTCAAAGTATGTGTTTACAGTCTGGCCTACTGAGCTAAGTCACACATTTTCCTGTGGAGACACCCCTGCTCTCCTGTTGCTTGTCTGAGCTTTTGATTGATTAGAAGGTTGGGTTTTGTGTTCAAGAAATGTAGCACCGAGATATTTTGATGAAATTGGTTGTTTGAGAACAAAAGCAGTGCAGTTATCCGACACCTTTGTGTACTTTAAACAACGCAGGATGGTATTTTGGATTTTGTTTGATTACCTACAGTGGATTTGCATGTGAACAGTTGACTTTAATGTTCCATTTTAAGTAAAGCAAGAAGTGTCTCTTTGACTTCCTTGTAATGAAATAAAGGTGCTTTTTGGGTAATTGAGAAACTGAGAAATGTCATGGGACATTCTGTAGCTGTACGCCTTTCTTGACAATGCCGTAGGCATTGAAACTGCTGTATAACCTTATTCTTCGATTGCTTATGTTGCGCCTACAACATATGATATGACTTGGGTCAAAGCTGAGGCCCAGTGGATAGACAAGCTCAATGAGTAGTCTGTGTCGAGGCACAAGGGTGACATCAGCATGTTTCCTTGTGTTTTCTTCCAGGAATATACTCCACCAGCAAGTGCAGTGGGGCTGGAGGGAACATGGAGGGCGTCTTCAGCAACAGATCTGCTTCAAGTCCATGTCAACTTCCTCCGAGGTAAAGTGCACCTCCTCCTTTCAGATGCACAGGCATGCCAGCAAGATGTCAGCTGATCAGCTGATCACCCTCCTCCAGGCAAAGGTCATTTGTGTTTCCAAAGACAAGAGGCGGAACTTGACAGTGTTAACCTGCACGCTGGCTGCTGGAAGCGGTGTGGAAAGAGAAAGACACAGCAATCCTCAACACAGGGAGGAGGCTGAAAGGAAAGGACAGTCCCAGCAAGGCTTTGGATGGACAGGAGATGACTGCACCTGGGAATGTAGATGTGACTCATGGACATGGTGAAGAACACACTGACCAAAATGATGCCTTTGGGAAACACTGCTCCAGTAGCTGTTCTACTGGCACTCTCTTGCACTTTGTGTGTGGATGTACTTTTGTGTGGATGAGTTAAGACTGAAAGTCTCAATGTGCATGTTGTGTGTATGTGTCTGTTTCCAGTGAGTTTGATCCACTACTCTCATCTCTTCAGAGTGAATTGTGGAGTGAAACACACAGTAAATGTCAATTGCAACTGGAAATTGTGGACTGTGAGGTTGCAACGGGGCATCAATTTCCAATACCACTGCCAAGAGGAAAAAATGAATGAGGCCTCACCCCTTTAACTTTTTCAGCTGTGCCTCACAATAACATTAGTCTCTTCACTAGGATTTTTTTTTCAGCAAAATAATATTTTTTTAAGTTGTGTAATTACTATTTATACAGATTTTCTATTTTTAAGTTCCAGTCTTAGCGTTAGTGTCAGGTCTTTAAGATTTTAGTTGGACTCTATCATGTTCTCTTGTGTTAAACTAGACACAGTTGCAAATTCTCATTTGCAATGGCACGCTGCTGCTCTTCCTTTTTACGAAGATTGTATGTATCCGACTAGCTGTTGCACACTGCTAGCCCTTTCTAAGTAACAGAACAAAGGCCTACAAAGTTGATGCTGAGGTTCAGTTTGTGTGCGAGGAGCGTTACATGAGAACTGTGAAGCTGTTTTGTAATTATCTGTGTTTTTGTTTCTGACTAACCAACACTCAACCAGTCTCTCCACATTGATAGCCAGACTGCCTGGAAAAATTTACAATTAACATCCTGTGTGGCTGTAATTGCAAATAGTTTTCCAGAACCTGACGCTAACGCTGTCTCCGCCCTCCCTCTATTGTTCGTCATCAAGCGGCAGGCAAGCAATCAGTTCGTCTTGGGAACTTGAGGCTTTCTATAAAAATGGATGCTCAACTGTTTCAGATTAGTTAAGTGCTCTTCCTTGTTGTTTCCGTATTTTTATATCTTGTTGTGCGAGTGCAAGATGTTTTTAAGGATGTTTGTATGTTTTCTTTCCTGTTTTTTTTGTGTTGTTTTGTCCCATCACTGTATAATTCACTATTTAAATACAAAATATTGTTCTTGGATAAAGAGAGGATAGATGGAAACACAACAAGGGGAAGTCTGTCTATTTCATTCATTATCTGACTTTGTCAGGTCAGTGGAGTTAACATGCCAACTTCTGCTGGTCAGATGCTGCATACAAGCTATAATCACAGACCTCACTGTTGTTGGTTTTCAGATTTTCCTGCTGTTGATGCAGAGGTGATCGCTAAAGATACTTTCCATGAAGATTTATTTTTGACTAGAAATTAAATACATTGTCTTCCACTACAACAGTTTTCAACAAAATAGGTACAAGCAACAGTTCAATTATATGAAAACACAGTTAAATAGACTTCAAGGCCACCTGACCTTTAGCTGAACCCTCTGCTGTAAGCAATTTGAGAAGACACTATTGTGACAAGGTGCTATATGAGTTCAATTGCTAAGGGAGACATGCTTACTGTGGCTAACTACCGACATCTAGTGGACATTTACATTAACAACACCTGCTTATACTGCAATCAGGATTCCACAGCTTTTTTTTTATTATTATTTGTACCTTCAAAACTTGAACACAAAACTGAACACACTTGCAGACTTGAGGACTTTGAAATTAAATATACTTGTAGGTATACATTTGGCACAGCCATGTTAACACGTATTACATTACACCAAAGCTTGACCTGGTGAACACCACTGTTGGTTCAATTCATGCAAACTTTAAAAAAAAACAGGATACAACACATGACAAATGTCAACTAAGCCAACTAAACCTCTCCATTTGGGAGATTTCCAATATGTTACAGAAGACACACTGTATCCCTGTCTGCTCCATCCTGCAGTCCTCTGCTGCTGCCATCATAGGCCACCAAACAAACAGTTCCATCAGAAAATGTTTTCTGCTCTGCTGTCAGTGGGGGAACCAATAGGACAAAACAGCTAAGAGAATCTCTGCCTGATACACCCGTCACACCTATTTATGTCACTGAGGGTCAGGGTAGAAAACCTTAATGTGAATGGCAGAGTTGTTACGTGTACGTGTCATGGGCTCCCCAGCCTCGTCAGGATCTTCCGGCTCCAGGTCGTCCACGAGCTCCACCGTGGAAGTGTTGGCAGCCAGCTGCAGCGCCCCCTGACTACTGGCCTGCAGCTGCAGGGCAATATTAATAGCCCTGTTGATGGCCAGGCCCAAGCCGTGGACGCAGATCTCCCTGTGACCCCCACCTTCCAGAAGCTTCTGACAACGTGCCAACTGAGCCCGGAAATCAGTCTTCATGTTAACGTACACATCGTTACGTCTCTTTGGGAGTTTCCGAGGGAGGCGCTTCCTCAAGGTGTACTCCACTGGGTCCATCTCTACAGCCGGTGTGCTGGAGTCGGTGTGGGCTGCAGCCGTCTGGGGGACGGTGGACATACCAGGGTTGCGTGGCTCCATCATATTACTCAGTGTGTCAGTGGATACGTCTGGGCAGCAGCTGGGGCCAAATGAGAAAGCTGAGGAAATAAATAAGTAGACACAAGTTTATGAAACATGACGACATTTTATAAGAGCATAATGTCCTCTAGCAAACATGCACATATCCTATTCACATTCTAATATTTTCCCGATCATCAAATATTCTCATTCTTTCTCTCTGTTGATTGTTTTGTCTATAAAATGTGGAAAAAAAAAAAAGTTAAAAATTCCACAATGCCAAAATAAGATCTTCAACTTCTAACCATCTGTCCAAAACCTTTGGCATTGACCTGGCCATTGCGTCTTAGGAAGTAAAATGTGAAGTAAGGCAGCTTATTAACACATTACAACTTTTTTGCGACTTGATACAAAAAGAAAACTTGCATAATTCTTATTTTCACTGACTAATGTAAAACAGTTCACATGTCTGATAGGGCATAATTTACTGTAATTTATGGGTTCTAAAATATATGGAGTGTTTTTAACTTTATTTGACGCAGTTTGCTGGCATTCAGGCTCTGAGGCTCTGTGGGCACAGCAAACTGTGAGGAACAGAGAAGAAAATACATCAGTTTTATGGCTTCACATTTAATGAAATAATAATCAATATCAAGACTTTGGCTTCCCGCTAATAAATGAACACGACTGACTGCGATATTGATGCAGTTTCTCTGGTCATAGGAAAAAAAAGCCGATGTAGACAAAATTGCTCGGTTTCAGTTGGGGTAAATCTGACATTAGAACATATTTGTCACTGATTTCAAAGAAAAAATATTCAACACACTGTCAATCACACTACAGTAATTGAGTGGAGACTCGAGGCTTCTCTGTGCGTAAACATCTGGAAATTGTTAACAATCGATAACAGCAGCAAGTGAGGTGTTTTGGGTACTATTTTATTTACATTTTGGCTCTAGGAGATGTGAGGAATTCAAGTGAAGGACCTTATTTTAAGTCGATAAATCGATGTGACAGTGCAATAAAAATATTTTGTCTCTAAAATCAGTTAACATTTGCGATAATCATCTCAATATTGATTCACAATCATTATCATCATTTTGGCCTGAATTGGGAAGCTCTAGTCTAGTATGGAAATAATTTACCTACAGACAGGAAGCGGTTGACCAGAAACAGGTATTCCGTTAGCAGTTTCGTGCAGTAAGATTTGAAAAACTATTTTGGAGGCCTTTGCCAGTGTTACGCTTTATGAGAACACTTCCAAATGTCTTGCACTCAAAAACAGCAACTTGTCTTCACAGCAACTTATTTTTCACCTTTTGATTTTTAGTTCTATTTTCTGTTAAGATCACTGTACAAAATCACCCAAGTTACTCATATACAAATCCAAGCTATCCAAACACGCATAACACAGGACAGCACCTGGCAACACACCACAAAAAAGCAGATGACAGAAACTAAAGATGTATTTGTGAGGAATAACTAATGTGACAAATCAAAGTTCAAAACTGAAAGAAACAAATAAATAAAAGTTTTATTCTATTCTATTCCATACACTGTGAAAAATGTGATATAGCAAATCTATTTTTTGTTGCTACTTCATTTGGACCGCATTATACCAACTCTAGCTCCAGCAAAGGCTAAAGATTCATTAAGACACCATTTCTGTGATTTCACTTTTCCTCCTTCATCTGAACCACATTAGACCAAGCCTAGACCGAAAACCACTGTGTAAAATCTAGCCAACAGAAACTAAATTCACTGTTTCTGATTCATAACAACCTTTGTTCTATTTATCAAAATGAAAAAGAGGGAGATTTCTGTTATATTTGCATCTGCGCCATATAAAAGCAGGTCCAGATGTCAAACCACAAAATACAGTCTGATCAAATCGAGACTGATGATCTTCAAAACTTGAAAAAATATATATTCTATTTGTGAATATGCAACAAAAAAAAAGGTTTGGCTGCTTTTTACCCTCCACATACCACTGGACCAACCCCAGATCGAAAAACCATCATGTATAGATTTGTCAAATGGGGACTAGACTGTCGCAAAAAGACTAAAGACAGTTTGTGTGGTTTGCAATCTGGTCTGATACTAACTACATGCAAAAATGAATCAAATCTCTTTTTGTTGTTGTGTTTTCACAGAGTACAAATCAGACAAATTGTGTCTTTTCTTTTTAGACTCTTAGGGACAATCTAATCCTGAGCTGACCAGTCTATTAACAGCGGATTTGGGGCAGATGTTTTTTTTTTTTCTAATTGACACAACTACAGATCACAACCAATACAATACAATTACAAACACAGACATAGAAATAAAACAACCCTCCCCCAAAGAAAAAGAAATAAAAAGAGAAAAAGAAAAATCATTCACAACCAAAGTGCACATTCACAGTATGGTTTCTGAGCTTCTAAGCAGCTGCAGTACATTCCTTGGTACAGCATCAAACACTACTGCATACTCTTTGGGTGGGACTGGAAACTGAAATTTGTTCAGAAATTCTTGGTATGAGAGTAATTGTCCACCATCAGTAATACGTTGCTTAACCCAAATAATCTCACGATCAAAAACATGTCCTATAGAATAATGATTTATTTTTACATAAAATATTTTCATTATTCCAAATATATATACATTAGTTGGAGAGAAATTGTGCTTCTAAAACAGTTTTTATGCTTGTTTATGAAAGTTTGATCATTTGAATGGTAATTTTTCTATCTTGTAATTGCATTTCAAGAATAAAAAAAAGGATTCCACCAACAGCATTGAATATAAACTTAGGAAAAGTATTCCAGATATTGTCTCTGTCTTTAATGAGTTTTGCTAACCACTGCACTTTGAATGTATTATTTAGCATTTCAAAACTTAAAACCGCCATGCCTCCTTTACTTTTAGGGTTACATGACTTTTTTTCTTCATATAGTGACACCAGTTCCTCCAGATAAAATTAAATAGTTTTTTAGATCAGATGTGGTCCAGATGCTAGTAACAGCAGTGTCATCTTCCCCTTATTTGCATTTTCGCCAAGCTGAAAGTAGGTTTCAGACATCATTAAAGATTAAACAAAAAATTCTTGGACAGTTCTACACCATCAAATTATGAGAAAAGTGGAGTTTAGGGTAACTTTTCCCTTAGGTATTTCTAGAAGCGTCGAATCGGAAGTTAGCTATAGCACCGTTAGCTAGCTTATAGCACCGTTAGCTAGCTAATCGTACAGAGCCGTGAAGCTAATTGTCATTTAAGCGACAGAACTTTGAAGGGTTTAAAAACATGAATGACAAACTTACACTCAGAGGACAGCTTCAAATTACGACGTTTCTGTAGCTCATTGCTGCAGCCTGAGCTGTTTTTCTGCTCTACAGCTGCTCTCTGTAGCCGGTTTGTTTTCGATGAACCCGGAAGTACTCGGATGAGGGCGAAAGGCTATTCGCTGTGACGTGCGCCTCATGTGGACAGAACAGGAAGTACATATCATACAGTGAGTACGCAGTTTCTGATAGTCGTAATTATAAGAGGACGGCCATTAAAATGCTATACAGGCTCACATCAATTTATATATAAATCAGCTGAGCACCCCGTCCCTCTCCCACTACATAAATGAAACAATAATAAACAGTCAAACACACAATAAAGAAATACAAGGTAACAGCTGTCACTACTGATATGTCAGATTATTTTTTTTACATTCTCACACCCCTTACCAAATACATTAAGGATTAAATCAATCCAACATTACTGCACAACTGACTAGAAATCTGTTTTGTGTGCAGTGTATGGTGTGTAATCTGAATGTTTTCAGCCTCTGTGAATGATAAACATCACCATCAACCACACAACAGTTACTCTGCTAACAGGCTACATTTTTAAAATCAGATGAATGCAAGCAAAATCCAGTGATACTAAAATTTACTTAAACAGATGAGAGCTCGGCGTTTCCCATTGTGTCCTGGCTGATAAAACCTGCAGCTGCCTTGATGTCATGATGTTATTTTTAACTACATCGTTGTGACTTCACAGCAAGCGAGGAAAAAGTCAGACTGAAATCTAATTCATAATGTGTTGATCACTGGTGATTGATTCTGCACATATCTGGCTCATCTAGAACAGGCCTAAAGTCTTGGCAGTGCAGCCTTTAGCCACACTCAGGGTGCGTTTTAATACCTATACTATGATATCACACAGTATGTCCCAGTGCGGGCTGCAAGGTGGCGCAGCTGGTAGCACTGTTGCCTCGCAGCAAGAAGGTTGCTGGTTCGCGTCCCGGTGGGGGCACCGGACTCTTTCTGCGTGGAGTTTGCATGTTCTCCCCGTGCAGCGTGGGTTCTCTCCGGGTTCTCCGGCTTCCTCCCACACAGTCCAAAANCATCTCCATATGAAGCCCCAGAATGAGCTCTTCACCAGAGTGATTGGATGTGGCAAACAGTGTCCATTCTGTGCAGTGCCTTGCGATGCAGGAGGAAAAGCCCATACTGAGCACTTTGCTTCACTGCATCGGCCAAAGGGTCTGGGTAAAAAAAAGTGGAACTCAACGAAAAAACTTGCCACTGACATATGCTCTTCCGCTGTGACCAGTGACAAAAAGTTTTGCTGCAATGCTACAAACAATGAATGGCACCCTTACAAACGTTACAAGGAAATTTTTCCTGACTGGATTATTCGTTCAGATGTGAGCTTCGAGGCATCAAACTACTGGAAATATGTAATGGCAACATACAACACTGACTTTGCCAAAGCATATGGTGCAGAACCTGCTGATATTCCTGCCACATGGAAAACCATCACATACAAGCAGGCAGAAGACAGCCTCAAAGAGTCATTTGGCACCAAGTAATAGTCCTCCTCAGTAAAGGAGGGGCCCTTTAATGGTCACATTACTGTACACAAGAGAAGATGAACGATATTGTGAGTATACATACATATTTAAACACTTGCTCACAACAAGACAATTCAAGAAAATAGCTACAAGCAAGGTCTCTCTTTGACTCGTATTTGCATTTAACGCATTTAATGAACTCTATTAATCTGCGTTCTGACTGTTTTGTGTGACAGTTCATGTCAATATAGTCGAACTGAAGAATGCATCAAAGCAGCAGAGAAAACAAACATTGCTTTTTTGTCTTGATTACATTAAATGTGATTAGAGAGCGTTTTCTGATTGATTTTGTTTGCAAAGTATTTGATGTCCAATTGTTGCATTTGTGTTTCTTATAGATCTGGATGTGGTAACGTTATAATAACATACGTTTCATGTATTAAGCAACTGATGACTCAGAAATTAAATCATTTTGTGTTTGATTCTGTGCCATATCTGATATCATGTATTTACATTTTGAATGTATCAAAAGATCATGAGGTTGTTTGTATGATCTAAATACTTGCATGAATGTCTTTATGATGTTGATAAGTGTTTCGAGTCCAAGACAAAGCAGACCTTCTTTTTTATCTGGTTCATGTTTACATGCCAGACAACTTATATTGTCATCTGAGTTGAGAAGAAATTACAATGTCTTTTCTCCTTGTTCACTGAAGTATCTGATGGGAAATATTTACACTTTTAAAGGAATTAAAGGATCACTTATTCTACATGTAGTATTATCAGCATGTTACATTACTAGCACCGGATTAAATAAAGAGACAAAATCTGCAATCTGGCTGTGAATGTTTTTTATGTTTCCTAGATCAGAGATACAGCGTTCAGTGTATAACAACCTCCAAAGTAAACAGAATTATCTCTATAAACCTCATGATTTTACACTTTCAAAATAATCATATTTTTTTAAAACAATATCATTTTTTAACTTTTTTTTCATCTCAACTCTAAGACGATGTTCAGATATATAATACATGATTTCATGTTAAAATACTTTATGGCTATCAAATGAAATGTTTGTGTTTTATTATACAAGATAAGACTAAAGTAATGTTTCTGTAATTTAGTTTTGAATAACATTTGAAAGACAATGACATCAGCCAGGTTTGGTGTTGCTAAGATTCTGACACAGACATGAAGCACAAATCACTACTGAAAATGAACTGAGAGCAGAATCAAAGGAAGGTAAACCAGCTTTAAAGCACCTAAATGGACTATAATTCAAAAATTGTTTTGAGAATAAATCATTTTAAATCTTGCTCTGGTCTTGCTTCCTACAATCAGTATTTTAAATATAGTGGTAGAATGAGGGTTAAACACACTCAGAGTCTGTAAGTGGACTGAACTTCTCAGATTCAATGAACGCTTCTGCCTGTCACAGTAAACCTAATGTTGTATTTAGAATGTTTTCTGTTTAATAAGATTATCGTTAATCTTCGGTAACATTAAGCTTGAAGCAGACTGTTTCTGTGACAAGGAAATAGTGACTGATCACGATCAATTTTGCTAATTGCGTTGACTTTTCATTTTTTTCTCAAGGTTTATTCATACATATGAATGCCTCAAAGAGCAATGAGGTACTGCTGAAATGAACTTACTTCATTTATCACTCCTGATACAGGTTCACCTAAGATCCTAAAGAAGTCATGTACCCAGGAAGCTTCTGCTGGTTGATATTCCCTGCTATAATTACACATAAGGTGTAATTTATAGATGTCCATCAGGGGTTTTTGTAGAAAAAAGTTGTATGAGGGAGCACACCGTGTCAAGGGAGCGAAGCGACCAAGGAGGGGATGATGCGGAAGGTGGGGTGTTGACCCCCTTCCGCGGTGTGAAGCCTTTGAAATAATTGAAAATTAAATGGGACATTCTGAGGCCATGCAGTCTGCATTGCTCACACCCTGAATGTAGTTGCTAAAAAGACTCTTGAACTAACCCCAGTGCTGTCCAGCACACGGACAAAGACAAGGAAGCTGGTGGACTATTTTAGAAGCAGCATAACTGCCACTTACAATGTCACCGCTGATGCCACTGTTGAAGTGCAGGGATACGTGGCAGGACCCAACATCAGCAGAACAGAGGATCTCCGTCAGAACTGGGAGAGGCAGAGGTGCACATATCCAAGTCTATACAGGCTTGCTGTAGGATACTTATCCACCCCTGCCTTCTCAGTACCATGTGAAAGGGTTTTCTCCAAAGCCGGAAAGGTTATTTCCTAAAAGAGAAACCAACTGAGTCCAAGCACAGTGAAAAAAATATTGTTTCTTAACCAAAATAAATAAAGTCACTATCGCCCCAGCATTCATAAGCACATCGCTGTCCCATCTTTTGAAAGCACTCCATCAGTTTTAAAATAAATATCTCATGTCCCATCGGATTCATTTAAACATTGATTGAAATCATACTGGCAGGTTTTTTGACATGAGCAGACCTCTCTTACCCACACATTAATCACAAACAGACTAGACGAATGAATGAATGAATGAATGAATGAATGAATGAACCACACAAAATCAAATTAAGGTGTTTTTATTTCTATTCTTGGCAGGGACTATTCCCATGACTCTGTTGAAAAACAAGAGACCATCACAAATTCTTAAAATGATAATACATTTTTTGGCCAACGGGGGGGTTTGTGTGCACTTGAACCCTGGAGAAAATAACTTTTTTTTTCAACCAATTGGATGGAAAGCTTCAAGGCTTCATCTGGCCATCACTAGTTAGTTCATGAACTGATTCAGCTCACCTGAATTCACTGTTTCCTGAATCTGAATCCACAACAAATCAGCTTCAGCTGGAGCTGATTCACCTCAACTTCTTCATCCACAACCTCAATGCAAACGCGGAGGCGCCACCTGGTGGCTGGAAGTGTGAGCTACAACACAGAAAATGACTTCTGCAACTTCATCATCCCATCACATACTCACTGACAGACATTCTTTTAACAATCCCTAATTCTTGTTTGAAGAAAACAGAAGATAATTTCTAAGACGAATAACTCAAACCTTATGAAGATTTTCTGGGAATCTAATATTTTGCTTTTCTCTGCTTTCCCAGGTTGTGTTTGATTGAAGCTCAGTGTTACGACCCTTGTGGCTGTGTGGTTTTCTTAGTTGTGGTGGACCTTTGTAGCCTCCGTGTGGGCTTGGGTGAACTTTTGATAATAGCTGGCTGAAGCACTGAACTGCATTAAAACGCAGTACAGGTGACTACAGAGAACAGGAGGGGATACAATTTGGTTACACAATCATCCAATCTGAATAGTTTCGGATGACTTTTGGACTAGTTTCAAATAAAAAATAAGAAGAAAGTATTACATCTTCTGCTTGACACATGGATGCAGCAACACAATTGAGTTCCACAAAACATTTATTTTTCTCTATTTCTTCCAAAAGTAGCAGTGCAAACTGCAGATAGAGCCTCTGCGTTCTACGCAGATCCCCTGAAAGGACATGTTGGAGAGAAAAAAACCCTCAAGTTTTGTGCGAACGGGATGTGTTTCTTCCCCCCCCCAAAAAACAAAAATGAA